GGCAAGTGCAGCAGGTCCCACAACTGCCCGGTCACGCACAATGACTGGATCTGCGATGGGGACCATTCCCCCAGCAAGTGCCCTGGCCGCAAGTGACTCAAGGCGACCCCGGGTGCCGTGGGCCCCGATCGGGTCCCTCCCGTCAACGGAGGGAAGAAGCGAGGTGAGGCGGCCTCGGGTGCCGTTGGCTCCGATAGGGCCCCTCCAAGCTCGCAGAGCACGCCGGGACAGCAGGCGGCTCCCCGGTCGGACCGCGGGGGCCCGACAAAGGCAACTCCCGCCTTCCTACAATTGGTGTCACAGTGCAGGCCCTCCCCCCACTCCACATGCTCGGGGATTGCGGAACCCAGCATCATCAAGCCTGGCCCAGTGGAATTTGTCCCCTCTTCAGGGTTGAGTGATGGGGTGGCAGCGCCCCCCCGGAAAAAGCCCTGTCAGGGTTCGACACAGCCACGGCAGGCCTATTGGTGGGATATGATCCCGGACAGACTCCGGGACAGACTCCGATGGGATCCCCCAGAGTCTACAGTGTTACCATCAGGGGAATTCATTCTCTTTCTTTACTCGGGCAAGGACGACCCTACCTCTATTGACTCATGCTGGCACAGTCAGTTTCCAGGGCAGGGTCACATTGTGAGCATTGACATCCTGCGCTCTCAAAGAAGACGACACAACATCCTGGGTCCCTCGCTGTACGGGGACCTTTGCCAAGCAGCATCACAAGGTCGTATCCAAGCAGTGATTGGGGGACCCAACTGCAAGACGTGGTCGGTGCTGCGTCTTATCCCAAAACCGGGGGCCCCGCCCCCCGTTCGTGGCAGGTGGGGAGACCACATTTGGGGGCTGCCGCACCTTTCGCCTCAGGATCAGGCGAGACTGGACGACGAGTCCATGCTCCTTCTCCGGCAGATGTACATCAGTGCGCTGGCCCGAGCTGCCAGACTGGAGGCCGGAAAGCCCACTGCACACATGCTGGAGCACCCGGAGGACCCGGCTGAGGGGTCACAGGTTGCAGGGGCCAAGGAGTGCGCTTCTATCTGGGCGTCCCCCTTCTTTCTGCAGTGGGTTTCCAGTCTAGACCTGCAAGTCATTTCCCTTGACCAATGCAGATTGGGGCAGGTTGTGAAGAAGAGCACCTCCCTAGCCACCAATTTGGGGCTCCACCAAATGGCATGGCATGCGATGCCAGCATACCCAACATACGGGCTCCACGGACTCGGGATCTCTGAGTAGATACCCATGGACATGATGCTGGGAATTTGCAGAGCCCTGCATGTCTTTTTGACAGAGACTTCCAGCTCACCGGCCGAGCACCTCGGCACAGAGGCAGGGCCGGGGGGGCATCCGGGAAACAGCCCCCCCACCCTGGATCCCAGCAGGAGACCCTTCGGGCTGCCAGGCCCCCAACAAGTCAGAAGGGGGACTCCCACCACCACAAGGGCGGCACAAGGGCCACAGAGAGCAACGGGCTGGTCCCATCCGGGACAGGTCTCCGTTCAGTGGGGGATGGTGCACCTGCACACCCCGGGCAGGGGTATCACCCCGCGCCAAGAGAAGAGCCGTGTGGTCACACACGAGCCATCACACAATCGGTGGGGTCTCCCACCGTTCCACTGGCGGCCACCGGCCCTGTGGACAGGCCTTCGGCCATCCCAGCTTTTCAAGAAGCAAGATTGGACGATGTTTACCCCATGGTACAACTTGGCTTTCGGTCCCGGCCACTCCGGGATGGTGGAGGCAAACCTTCATTGGGACGTCTTAACCCTCCCTACCGTCCCCTTTCCAGTCTGCACCAGGTGGGACATCACCTACTCTCCTTGGTGCTGCCGTGGACGCCAAGGCTGTGGACTTCTCTGGCGGCAGGGGACAAGGCACACCCCTTCACGGAGCAGGACCTTTCACAAGTCCGGGGGGTCCTGGGGCCCGTGGAGGTCCATGGAGTTGATGAGGGACAACCTTTCCATCTCAACCTGCTCCATCATCTCCTTCGGGCAGGTAAAGATCACGACTGGGAGTATCCGATTTTCCTTCGTGAAGGTGTTCAATTAGGTGTGACGGAGTCCACCCTGACCTCCGCCTACGAAGGAGGACTCCCTCCACCACAGGGTCGTTACAACTACCCCTCTGCAGAGGCCTTTCAGGCGGAGATCGAAGCCACCTTTTGGGAAGAGCGGGATCTCGGCATGGTGGAGGGCCCCTTCACAGCAGAGGAGGCGGGCGCGCTGTGGCTGCACGCCCTCTGACCTCTGTCCCGGTCCCTTGGCCGGCTGACAAGATCCGCACCATCTACGATGGCTCCGTGGGTGGGGCCAACCTCCACATTCAGCAGCACACCGTGGAGAGAACTACAGCACCTATGGTGGCGGATCTCCATGGCATTCACTGGCTCCAGGCGGCGGCCAGGGAGGCCCCTTTCCCTTGCCGGGGCTCCACGGGTGCCGTGGGCCCTGGGGGGTGGAACAGCTGGTGCAGCAGGGACCGGGCCTCTCCGTTGCTTCATGCTCGAATGCCGTTGGCCCTGATCAGGCGGACCACGAGAGCAGGTCCGGCACGTTGAGCCCCCTGGGCGACCACGCAGCTCCATGCCCGGGTGCCGTGGGCCCCGAATGGACGGACCTCGTGGACCCAGGGGTGACGGCGCCAGCGACTTGGCGCTGGCCCACCTCAGCCGATGACACCCTCCTCCTCAAGGCGGATGTTACTAAGGCGCATCGCCGCATCAAGGTGCTGCGCACGGACTGGCGGTTCCAGGTGGCCCGCATTGGGCCCCGCTGGTGGGTGAACAAGGTGGGCACCTACGGCATGGCCAGCGCCCAACTTTACTGGGGCCGCTTGGCCGCGGCGTTGCTCTACATGCTCTTTCCCCAGGTGGACTGGGGCCTGGTCTTTGTCGATGACTTCTGTTGGTTGCTGAGGAGAAGCTCCCCGGAGTTGGCCACTGCACTACTGGCCACTCTCCTCGCCTTAGGGACTCCGCTGTCCTGGAAAAAGACCGTAGCAGCCCCGGTCAATACCTGGCTGGGGTTTGTAGTGGACCCATCGGGTCCCTTCGTCGTCATGGCCAAGAAGAAGTTCGACTTGGTTATGGACATCTTGCAGAGACTCCAATTGGGCGAGACTTTCTCCGCCAAGGCGGTGGAAAAGGCGCTGGGGCGCATCAGTTGGTCAATCTCGGCGTGCCCCATGGCCCGAGCCTTTCTCCAGCCTTTTTGGGCTTGGAAGGAGGCGGTTGTCACTGCTGGGAAGCCTCCCAAGCTGGTCCGGGCCTTGGCGCTCCTTCTGGAGACCCTCTTTAAGGACAGGCGCTCCCCATTCCCTCGCCCTTTACCCAGCAAACCCGTGGTATGGCGCTTCGGATGCTAGCGCCAGCTGTGGCGCAGACCATGCCTGGGTTGGCGGCTGGTGCTCCTGCCACCCAGACCCTTCCAAGTCAGATGTGTGGTGGTTCCAGTACAAGGTTACCAAGCAGAACTGCCCGTGGGCCTTTCCCCACGGGGATCCTCAGCGCTGCATAGCGGCTCTGGAGCTGCTGGGGCTGCTCCTACTGATCGACCTGGTCCACCACTGCTGCGGTGACCTACGAGGCAGACGCCTGAGGGTCGCTAGTGATAACCAGGGTAATGTTTTTTCCCCACTGGACGGCTCGGCACGTAAAACGCCGTCAGCCTTCCTGCTTATGGAGATTGTAGCAAAGCTACAGGCTCTTGGGGGGACGCTTTCCCCCACTCATGTTAGGCGGGAGTTCAACGAGTGGGCAGATGAGCTCACTCATCCGTCTCCCGACTTTAATCCTTCTCGGCAGGTACTGGTTGAGCCTCGCTGGCTTCTGTTGCCTGCAATTCTCTCTTTGGTCTACCCACCCATGGCACCGTGATGGGCGCCCGGTGGGTTGGGCACATCCTCCAGTTCTGGGGTGTGGGGGCCGGCGTGAGTTCTGGCCCCACACACCATGCATCAGTTCAGCAGACCTGGAGGGCTGCTGCCCAAACTGGCACCTAACCTCTCACTCTCGACAAAAAGGAGGCTGCTTGCTGTACCCTGTTTGTCCCCCCTCTTCCGTAGCCCCAAGGAAGCCTTTGGGAACACAAAAACAAACAAACAAAAAGTGAGGCACAATCAAAACCCGGGAAGATGAAGGTTAGCAAGGGCAGTCCCAGCCAGAAATAGTTGCGGCCGCCATTTTAGTACCGGGTGTTGATTGTGACTGTGTGACTCAAGTGGGACCCTACGGCGCGGCCAATTTTTATTTGGCTCTTGTGGGAAGCGGGGCGCTCGGGGCTTTTCCCACAGGAACCACCAACTGTTGTGGTTCCTCGATTTTGTTGGAGGAACCTGAACGTTCCCGCGGTTCACGGTAGTTTTGTCCTATCGACCCTACAAACAAATGAGCCACAATCAAAACCCGGGTAATTAGATGAAGGTTAGTAAGGGACAGTCCCAGCCATAAATAGCTGCGGATATGCGCCTTATTCTTAATTATTGAAGCATGGTTCTGGGATTACGACCATTTTACTACCGGGTTTTGAGCAAGTGACTCCGCTGGAGATGTGGGCCATCCAACCCTTTGGTTGGTTAAAGAGGGAGACCAACCAGGAATCTGCTGTTTTGATGGCTCAAGTGGGTTTTGGAGAGGCCCCCCCCAAAAGCAAAGGGATCAGACTGCACTCGCCCGAGGGCTGAAAGGAAGCCACAAGGATTTGTCGCTGGTTGGAGCAGCAAAACGCTTGGAATCACGGTGGTCATCGTGGAAAAGTGAGTTGTAGAGCCACATGTGTGTTTTTTGTTTTCAAGATAGTCCAGCAGTGGACATGTGTTTTGCTGCAAGGGGACTCAACTTGCGCTCAGTTGGAATGAGGGAGTGAACCCAGGGGTCCCCTTAAAGGAAACCACCAGTTCGATGCTTTGTAGCCTACCGAGCAGCAAGTCAAGCAAATGGCTCGGACATGGCTTGGACCTGTCGTCGGGTTACCGAAGAAAAAAAACAAAACAAAACATCCAAGGCCTGTGAGGACACCACCTGTGAGGACTGGCTGATCGAGAAGGCCACGCTTTGGAGTGTCGAAAGGGGCGACGTTGGGGGAGGTCATGGGACCTTCACGAAAAATATCCAAGGTCACATCAAATGGTTGAAGGTCCCATGGCCTCAAATGAAGGTCCTTTTTTGATGTCTCAAATTCGATGTCTCATGGCCTCAAATGAAGGACCAAATCCCCATGGCCTCAAAGTTGATGTCTCTCCTCAAATGCTCCTTGTTTCAACCAGCCGGAAATGGTCATGGGAGTCAAGCGAATCAAGGCACTTGATCAATTGGGGTGTTCCCTTGTACTGGGAATGTGTCATTTCGGGGGTGGTCACACCCCCTAGCAGGATGGGTTCGAGTCACAGGCGGCTCCTTTTGAAAGCTTCGGGTTTAAAGGGGAAGCACGGGGATCCATGCTTCAAAGTATCCTGAGTCTACTGTCCATTTTGGGAGGGCCATTCATGGTTGTTGTGGTGGGAAGCATTTTACATTTTTGCTTATTGTGGTTTAGTGGGAATCCCCACTTAAGTGCTAAAATTCATTTTTTTGCTCCCCTTCCAACGTCAACCAAGCATTGGGGACTCTTGTTATAGTGTGGTTACAGTATGACTGGACTCACTGCCCGGCGGATCAAAAAGTTGCCATTTTTAACAGGTGTTCAACAGGATTTTCTGAATTAGTTACCTACCAAAGGGGCAAGTGGATGCTCTGGGTTGGTGACTCCTGTCGATTAGACCTCCCGCAAGGAAGAGGGACAGGCTTGTTTTGATAGGCAGAGGAACCTATCAGCAAGTCAGATGCAGGAGCGACGATCAAATGTGGGGTTCGGTTGGTTTGGTTTTGTTTGGTTTGTTGGTTGGTTACTTGGCTGGTTTGTTTGTGTCTTTCTTTACTTATATGTGTCTTTATTTATTTATCTCTTTCTTTATTTCTGTCATGGTTCTTACTTTATGTATTTATGTGGTTGTTCTTTGTTTCTTTTTTTTATGTCTGTTTTATATGTTGTGTTCTGTTTATATTGCTCTTTCATTTGATCTATCTCTCTCTATATATAATCTATGTACCTATAGACTCTAATATAATATGACAATGTTTCTTATCTTATGAAATCTGGTCTTATCTCTCTATATATCTAATCTATCTAAACTATCTATCTAATCTATCTATCTATCTATCTATCTATCTATCTATCTAATCTAATCTAATCTAATCTAATCTAATCTAATCTAATCTAATCTAATCTAATCTAATCTAATCTATCTATCTATCTATCTATCCTATCTATTTGTCTGTCTGTCTGTCTGTCTGTCTGTCTGTCTGTCTGTCTGTCTGTCTATCTATCTATCTATCTATCTATCTATCTATCTATCTATCTATCTATCTATCTATCTATCTATCTATCTATCTATCTATCTATCTATCTATCTATCTATCTATCTAGCTATCTATCTATAGATCGATCTATCCATCTATCCATATCGATATCGATCTATCGATCTATCGATCTATCGATCTATCTATCTATCTATCTATCTATCTATCTATCTATCTATCTATCTATCTATCTATCTATCTAATCTATCTATCTATCTATCTATCTATCTTATCTAATCTAATCTAATCTAATCTAATCTAATCTAATTTAATCTAATCTATCTATCTATCTATCTATCCTATCTATTTGTCTGTCTGTCTGTCTGTCTGTCTGTCTGTCTGTCTGTCTGTCTGTCTGTCTGTCTGTCTGTCTGTCTATCTATCTATCTATCTATCTATCTATCTATCTATCTATCTATCTATCTATCTATATTGTGTCAGTGTTTCTTTGTTTTTTGCTTTATTTATTTCTTGTGTCCGTTCTTTCTTTCTTTCTTTATTTCTTTCTTTCTTTCTTTCTGTCTTTCTTTATTTCTTTGTTGTCTTTGTGTCTGTATGTGGTCCTTTATTTATGTGTTTCTTTCGTTCCGTCTGTCTCTCTTTATCTGCTTCTTTATCAATTGTGTTTGTTTGTTTGTTTGCTTGCTTGCTTGCTTGCTTGTTTTCCTTTTTACATGAGAGACGTTGTTGGTTGGTTTGGGCTTCGGTTGGTGTGTTTTTGCTGGCTTGTTTGTTGTTTGTTTTACTTGACAGACATGGTTGGTTGGTTTGAATGGCTGGGTTTTCTCGGTTTGGTTGAAGGGTGGTTCCCTTGCTACCCACACTGGTGAATGGAATCATTGGGTTTGGTTTGGCTTGGTCGTTTTGGTTTCTGTCGACAGACTTGTGTGTCTGTGTGTGTGTGTGTTATCTTGAGACTACCGACCTTTCCTTTTTTTCTTGTTGTTTCTTGTGTTGGTTTTCTTTTGTTTGGAGGGGTGGGGGGTGAAAGGCAAGCCAAAAGGAAAACGACCACTTTGGGCGTCCCCCATTTCTCCCGTGCTCAGGCACTGACCTTTGTCACCGTAGAGCCCAAGCTCGCCAAGTGCGACCTGGCACACGTGGCGATGCTCAAGGCCAAGCATCCCCGGGTCCGCTTGGCCGCTTCAAAGCAGACCTCCCGGAAAGCATTTTGCTGACTGCTGTTGGGTTGGATCTTTAGACTTTCACTTTTTGAGAAATCAAGGGGTTTTCCGAATTAAACCACGAAAAGTTTTTAGCAGGGGAGCAGAAAGCAACCGAGTTTGTTTGGGCTGGCATTGAAGCCCTGCTTTTCGCTTGGATCTTTACCTACATGCCGGGAGAAAATTCGCATTTTAGCCCATTCTTGCAGCAAATGATACACGTTGATCCACGGTCCGCCGGGTCCGCTAAACCTGGGCTGCTTTCGTTGCGGAGGTTCGTGCATTCTTCTTCCAGTTCAGCGAAAGCCACTGGCCACGAGGAAAGCAACAGTTGCGATGTGCTGGTTCTTTTCAGGTCACATCCACATCCTGACTTTCACAGGCCCAGTGTCATGTGTCTGGACCTAGAAGACATGGTAAAACGATGTGGTTGCAACATGCCAACCTGTTGGTATACCATGGAAACTCGGGTTTCTGCAACACTGCTACCTCTGGCAACATGTTGGTTGACTAGCAACGGGTTAAAAAGCACATGAAGGGCCGGTTTGTTTTTTAAACATCGGCATCCTGCTGGGCCGGAAGCAAAACAGGGGCTAAATAGATGCCGATACCCCTTGGAGGGTGTCTTTTTTCAGCCCGAAAAGGAGCTGAAAACGACCAAACAAACAAGACAAAACAACACAACACAGCAAATTGTGGTGTTTCCTTGGGTTTCGCTTTAACCCCCCGCCCCCCCCCCCCCTTTGCAAGGAAGACACACTGAATTTTTGGGTAGACTCCTTTAGTACTTACCAGGTTTAAGTTTGACTCAGGCGGCAGTACTGAGCATTTCAGCTGGCGGGGATCAGGCTCCGTTCTTTTCACGGATGCAACCGGAAATCCAAAAGATGGACACTTTGTTCAGCTTTTCCCGGGCCCAAATAGAATTCTGTTCTCCCTGGAGCCCACACGGGATGACAAAATTCCACCAAGTACCAACTCTTTGCGACCAAACCCATGCAGAAGCTTTCTCGGGCTTAGGTCAGTGCATCACAATCGATTGTAGTTCACAAAGATCTATGTGCGGAGTGGGGCTTAGAAAGCCCAACCCCAGTGCAACCCAAGGGCAACCCAAAAAACTGACTGGAGACCCGCCTTATCCAGACCTCCAATGTTGCCCGTTCTCTCGTTTTCTTATAGGTCTAAACAGGTTGCGCGCGTACTTTTTTGCAGTGGAGGTCTGAGTAGCAGGCCCTTGTCGCCATGGTTGCACTTATGCCTCGCTCGCGCTCGCAGGCATGCCACGGAAGCTGCCGGGGCTGCCCAGTAAGCCGTGCTTCCAGGGTGGTGAATATTCCTGGCCCAAGAATGACCATGGGTAACTTTGCCCATTTAGCGGTGAAAGCCATTTGTCTTGGTGGTGTCCGGTTGGTCTGACACATTGACAATGGATCTGCCATTCCGAATTGGAACGGTAAAACCCCGAAATGGGGAGGTTGTGGCATGTACGTCCACCCTCTCTTTGTTCCCGGGGTCTCCTTCAAAGCTTGCTTCTTGACGGTAGGCTGAATCTAAAGTAGGCAGTGGCCGACTGGCAAATAGCAGGCCTTAAAACCCTATCTCCATTTCAGGTCGGCATGTGTCAAAAAGGGGGGGACAGCGATATGGTGTGTTTTCCTAGTTGATCCTCATGCGAAGCGCGGAACCCCCCCCCCCCTCTCCCCAAGACTGAAAAACATGTTGCACTTCGGTGCTAGGACTTGCCAAGATCTGCTGGACAAGGCCTTTGCTTTGGCGAGTTGACATACCCTCGTACTGCCTGATCAAACTGGTCCGAACCAACGTGGTCCAAGAGTTCAAAGGCGGCGTCGCGCTATGGGGCGGACAGAGATTCAGCACGTACCGTTGGATGTAAGAATCAAATACCAAATAAACCCTGAATATAATGGGGCCAACGGCACGTAGGAGTCTAAGAGTCTTCAAGGCCTTTTTTTATTTTCCAGGGGCTCCTTACTCTCGAACGACTGCAGCGCTCGTCGCAGTGACGTGAGGTCATCACTGTCTGGTGGCACACACTGCCTGCGCTCAGCCGGGCCCACTCTTCAGCTGTCAGGCCGATTCCGCCGGCGGCGCCGGCGTGCGTCGGTCAAACAAAGAACCCCCCCACCGAAAAAGCTGGACGTGATGGGGAAGCCCAAACAAAAACGGGCTTGCCCCCTTGTTCCCTTATCCAGGGCATAGATCCCGCGGGGGGGGGGGGTTAACAGCCCCTACTGTTTTTCCCCGTTTCGATCCCGCGGAAAGGCCCCGGATTCGTCGCAAGCTTCACAAGAACTTGTGCCGTGGTTTCCTTTTGATCGACTACAAAGAAAAGGTTTTTCCCATGGCACTGGTGGTCTTGGTCTTTACGCAACGCATCACTATCCGAGAGGCCAGGGATCAACATTGCTAAGACTCCTGGCCCGCGGTTTTTCGGGGTTCTCTATATTTCCCCCAAAGCGTGGGTTCACCTTTTGGGCCGATCTATCATGAGTGTCCCTCGGGCTTAATTAGAAATGTTAATCCAGATTGGCGTCACGAACCAGAAACCATAGACCACCCTTCAATCCCAACAGGGTTTGCCCCCCCAAATAGCAAATAGGGATACCCTAAAAATTGCTGGTTTGATTTCTTGGTTTCCTGTTAAACCATATGGGTACCCTCAATAAAGGACATTGCACGGAAGTCCTTGGATTGGCTCGGATTTGGATGCCCGTAACTCTGCAAAGTTACATTGAACCTCGATTGCGGGGGGTGGTTCCCCAAAAGGATGTTATTCCAATCATGTTTGGTTTTAGTACCATGTTAGTCTGGAGGGTAACACATTGTTCTTCTATCATGACTCGATTTTGTAGTACCTTGAAATTGCGAGTCTAATTAGCTGTCTAACCCATTGTGATAGCTGAGGACTTCAGAACTGAAACCTTTTCTGACGCCTTTGGTCTGTACTGCGGCTGTTGGCATCCAAGAACCACATAAACTTTGGTGCATTCCAATATTTTTTGCCAAGGGATGTTAGGACTCTTTGCTTTTTTTGCTCACGAATGGGTTTTCCGAATTAAACCACTAAAAGTTAGTCACTTCTAGCAGGGCTTCGCAGGTTTCGCAAGCGAGTAAAGCTAGCAGTGGATCCCAGACCCATGGCTTGCCTTTCCCTTGCTCCACTTTGGTCCATGGCCGCTGCCTCCGTCGACGCGTTTGGCTGACCCCGGCCGGCCAAATCAGAAGCTTGCTGAGGGTAACACCAGCTTATGATGGAAGTAGCTTGGGATTTGTGGTTGTTTCAGGTGAGCAGAAATTTGCCCAGAGAAGATCCCGCAACTTTTGAAGGCATGCAGTAAGCGCTTTTTCTAGAATCCGAACTGCTCGCACTACTCACAGTTTGGCCATCCTTGTGGAAGCGGTTTTAGTTGTCCGCTGTGGGTAGTGGCAATCTCCTTGGCATTGCCACGTGGAAAGGTTGTCTACTAGCGTGGCCCGTGGAAATTTAGATGGTTGTTCCCTAACAGCATGACAGCAACAGCTTGGGGTAGCCAATCTTGGCTATAATTACATTGTGTGTTGAGGATCCTGTTTCATTTCTACAGTACATTTTGAGGGATCAAGGAAACCGGAACCAAATCAAAAACATTGGTCCGGCATGTTACGTTTAATTGTAGGGGCCCAAACACAGCGGCAAGTTTACCATTTTCTTTTTTTGGCTGCTACCAGGTGGGATCTTTAACCTTGAACTTGCTGCGGCAAATGCGTGTTTCCGCAGTAACCAGCAACACTTAAGCTTCTTGCAGGGGAATAGCCACATGGTTTCCTCTTGGTTCCCTTTAAAAGCCATCCAAAAAGGGCACCTTCCTCCAACTAACATGGCACCTGTGGGGAGTTACCTGGAAGATTAACTTCCTTTTGAAGGGACTCCGTCTCAGTTGCCATGTTAGTGGGAGGGAGGGTGCCCTCCAAACACGAACAACAACGAGTTCTTGGGCGTTCACTTGAGCCAGCGCTAGGCTGCGCATGGCGAGATGCGAACTTGGGGGGAGGCGCAACTGAGCTGGGTGTCCCAGTGGCTCATTTGGGTGGGGGGGGTATTGGGGGGGCGTTGGGGGGGGTGTTGGGGTGTTCTGAGGGTGCCGTTTGGGGGGGTGGTTGAAAAGCAGATCCAAGGGAAAACCGAAGCCATTTGGGTCCCTCAACAAAACCTTAGGTGATGTTGGGGACATGAGGGGGCCCCTTCTTTTGGGGAGGGTCTGGGCTCCCTTGTCGAGGGACCCGCCAAGGATATCTCACGGAAAGGGTGGAGCCGAAATTGGGATCTGTTTGCAAAACAAACCACGAGTATCTTTTCTGGCAAATGATTGACAAGCTGTGGTTGGAGGGGAGCCATTCCGGAGCTGGGAGTATCCACATTTGCTCAGCAAGCGCAAAGCAGAACAACCTGCAGAGTGCTACGGAATGCCATTAACAGAGCAGCTCAACTGTAGCCAACAGGTGAGGGACCATCTTCACATTGAAGAATGCCGCTCAGATGTACTTCACGTCAGACACCAGACTGGACGCGAGTACCCTTCGAGATTTCAGGAAACTCGGCAAACTGGTGGGCGGCAATATGTGGCAATGGACACCCGGCTTTGAACTCTGTCAACTTTGACAGGAGTGGTATACGCAGAGGTGTACGCGACGGTGTTCGCCAAGCTGTTTACTTCAATATGTGCCAAGCAGCCTGAAGAGATGGGTCTGCACTTGACGCAGTCAGCGGATGGAGCTACCAGGAGTATGGACATGGTGAAGTAATCATAATGTTGACCCAGGATTAATAAACCCGTCCCACTATTAGGGGGGTGTTCCCTCCAAAAGTGATGAATCCCCACTAAAAGGGGACACCCCCCTATTAATCAACCAGGGGTTTATGAATCCGGGGTTAACATTACCTTAGATGAGGGAATCGGACAGGGGGCCCTTTTTGTCCGGCTCTTTTCGCCCGCAGGTGTGCTCTTGGAAGGGGTCCAACTGGCTTCTGCGCAAAGGGCAGTGCCCCTTTCTTTTTCTGACGGGGGATGGGCTTCCAACAAACACAAGCGGCGCACATTTGGTTACACGTCTGGCCGCTGGCCTTTACGAAAGGTTCACTTTTTCAATGCACTGGGTAAGTCAAAACACATGGGACAATCGGTTCGCTTCCCTCTTACACAGCTGGTCTTTGGTGTGATGTTCCCAAACAGACTACGAAAGGTCTAGTTACATTTTGCTCGTTCCGGCGCGGAACCTTTAGGGAGCAAACTTGTTGCTTTTTGACAAGGTCTTTGGAGCAACCTTGCTCACTCGGCAACTGAATTTTGGCATCCAGTCTTCATCGGCAAAAACCCTTTAGCGAATCTTAAGGGAGGATCTCCTGCGAGCGTGCTTCGTTTGGGAGGGCCAAGGATTTTGTGAACATGCCTGCAGGTGATGTTTGCTTGTTTTCGCGGTCTACAAGTAGAAGACATTACATGACCACCCTCTGAATCTCGATATGGGGGGAAGACATGATAAATGGAACTGAGGGGGCCCTCCCCCCTTCGAGAAGAAGCAGAAGACGCCCAAATGTCTAGGAGGAAAGCATTGTTCTTTTTGCCAAACAACCCTGTGGCCTTGGTGGTTTCGGCTTTCTTGGAATCTGGAGAAGAATGGTGGTTTCGGTATTTGCAGGTTGCTCAAGGGTTCCTTGGACCACCATGACATGGCAGCAACATCAGTGCAGCAACAGCGCCCAACACCAGTTCCTATTTGCCATTTTAGTGGGAGGTTCGTCTACCGGGTTTGATCTGCAAGTATAGTAACGCGTTTTTGTTCTTACAGCCACCTAACGCCAATCGGCTTTGGGCTGGTCAACTGACAAAAAAACACGTTTCGGGTTTTAGAACTGTTCCTTCCATAGAAATCAGGTGCAGAACATTTTACTGGGAATTAGCCGAGTTGTTTGCCGATTTCTTGTGGAGTTTCCTGTAATGTCAACCCGGATGAGAAGCAACCGCCCGATCAGAATTAACCAGGGTGTCTGCTTCATCAACTAAGTTTCTATCAATCCATAGAAGCTTGTATTATGTATAGCATGTCGCATGCACATGTTTATATATGCATACATATATACTTGCATACGTACAGCATACGTACGTACAATTATGTGTCTGATTACCAACTGGTGGCACTTAGAACCTACGGTTACCTAGAGCCGATATGGCCATGTGCACCACCCATTTAGTCCTTTTTAGTGGGGATTCGGATGTTCACTGACAGGGTTTTGACCCCAAGGCTGGTGCTGCCACAACCGCGGCGTGGGCTGCGGCTTGCACCAGAGCATGCCGAAGCCATACGCGGGAAGACCCAGCTCGCGTGAGATGTTTGGTAACATGAAGGAAGACCGACGCAGAAGAATCTTCGGTGCATTTTGCTTGGATGTTAGGACTCCTTGACTTTTTGCCAACAATTGGGCTGTCCATTAAACCACTAAAAGTTAAACTTTTAGCAGGGGAGCAGAAAGCAACCGAGGAATGATTTGACCCCTTGGAAACAAACGACCTGCGTAGCCCCAAGCCTTCAATTTTGAGCCACACTCAACATCTGGTAGACTGAAACACGGTGGCTTGGACTCGGCAACCTTTGAAACCCTCCCAACAAAGGAGCTACAGAACCCCTGGTTGGGACATTCTACAAGCTCGTATTTGGGAGGGTAACATCCAACAAAAACCTACTCAGTGGTGGGCTCCGCATTCAAGATTCCCCAGCCCGAAAACATGTCCAATTAGTTGTCTAGCAGTTGGAAGGGTTGGGTTGAAACACGACAATATCTAAGCCACAGGTCGGTCCAATTTTGTCCAGCACAATCACTGGAACTGGTTTCCATTTGCCCTACCGCGCGAACTCCGCGTTGTTCTCGTCGAATTACAAAGCAGGGCTCCCTTACCCACTGACTTGTTTCATAAGTGTGTGTGTGTGGGATTGTGTGTGTTTGTCTGTCCTGTCCTGTCTTGTCCTGTCTTGTCCTGTCCTGTCCTGTCCTGTCCTGTCCGGTCGGTTGGTCTGTTTGTCTGTCTGTCGGTCTGTCGGTCGGTCGGTCTGTCTGTCTGTCTGTCTTTCTGTCTGTCTGTCTGTCTGTCTGTCTGTTTGTCTGTCTGTCTGTCTGTCAGCGTGGTTGTTATCTTGTTTTCTGTTTGCATGTTTGTGTGTGTGTGTGTGTGTGTGTGTGTGTGTGTGTGTGTGTGTGTGTGTGTGTGTGTGTGTGTGTGTGTGTGTGTGTGTGTGTGTGTGTGTGTGTGTGTGTGTGTGTGTGTGTGTGTGTGTGTGTGTGTGTGTGTGTGTGTGTGTGTGTGTGTGTGTGTGTGTGTGTGTGTGTGTGTGTGTGTGTGTGTGTGTGTGCGTCTTGGTTTGTGTTTGTGTGTGTGCATGTCAGTGCGCAACATGGTCCCGATGCGATGGTTTTCTTCCCGCCAAATCCGCCCGGGATCTGCGCGTGAAGCTGAGGATTGCATGGCAGGCGGTTTTCAGCTCTGGAGCGAGGCGAAGCAGTCCTGGTGCTGTCCGGGGTCCCAGTTTGGCCGACAGTGTGGCTTTTTTGTTTGGGGGAGGAACACCACTTTTTGGTTGGTTTTAAAGGGAACCAACAGGAATCCAAACATTTTGCGGAGATCCCCGATTCTTGAGGTAAGCCCATAGAAAACCCAAACTTCCCATGTCTGTCTGAATTGTAATTCGCCAGCCGCGGGTGTTCCTATTGTTTTTATCTTAGTTGGAAGTTGTTTCGATTCTTGCAGATCAACATCGGCTAGTTTCTACGACCACTTTTTGGCTTCAGACAAGATAAGGTAACTTGCAAGGGTTGCGGCGGCTGGCTCTTACTATGCTAATAAGCTAATGATCTCCGACTCTTCGCCCTTTCCCAAAGGGCACGGGAGGCGACAGTGTGATTTCATGTGATTTCCCACTTGGCGAAGATCTTTTCTGCAAAGCTCGGACGTCTGCGCTCCACGAAGTGAGTGTGGCCTGACAAGGATGTCGCTTGCAGTCTCTGCCTCGTTCCGACAGATGTACGGCACTGAAAGTGTAGGATTGCTTGGGGAGGTACTCTTCTGCAAATGGCTGTGGCATGCTGTGGCTCAAAAAAACGGTACCAAAATGGAACCCTGTTAAGTGGAAACATGGACCAAAACCTGCGGTTTGCCCCTCCTGTTTAATTTTGAGCCACACCCAAATTACAACGCGAAAAGTTTTGGCCAAAGGAAGCTCCCTTCCCCACCATGAGAGCTTTTGCCAAAAGGTGAGTCAAAGCTGTGGCTTAGGGCCACTATGTGAGTTGGGCTTGGGCATTTCCATGTTCGGGCATTTGTTCCGGGGGTCGTCTCCAGAGCAGCATCACTTGCTTGGTTGGATTATGAAAGAGATGTTTGAACATGTTGGAACAGCCTAATTTGCCCAGAGGGTCCCTTGGTACCTTCTAAAAGGGTACTTAGGCCCCTTGTTGCTCCCAAAAGCCATCCTCATGAAGTACCCAGGGACCCTCTGGGTTGGTTGGTTGGAATAGGAAAGATAGGTTTGAGCATATCTGCAGTGTACCCTTCGGGGTCCAAAGGCGCGGAGGAGAACCGGGGCTGCAAGTACGACTGCCATCAACAGCTGGGCTCCAAGCCGGGGGAACAGCTTTCACCATAGGTGTCCTGTTCGGTTTTGGTAGAAAAATAGATGGCCCTGGTTTACCTGGTGAAAAGAAGGATCCCCGCAAAGAGAGGGGAAGCTACCCTTAGAATTATGGGTGCGTTTTGAAAGGAATCCCTTGTCGGTTGGTTTAAGGGGAATGCCCTGGATGGTTGCGAAATCCACGTTGCACCACTTGGAAACCAGGGTTGAAACCATAGTTGATTCCTGAAAAGGCCAATTTTAGCAGGTGGTTCGGTTCCTACCAGGTTCTTTTTATTAGGTTTTTGGTGTGTGTGTTTTTGGAACTTGCCTTCGTAGAACCAAAAATCAATAGGTTTAGGGCGTTATCAAAGGACCAGTTCCTCCATTGGGGGTAGGAGTGGTCATAGACCAGGGCCCTTTAGGCCACCAAAGGTTGCTATTAAGGGAACACCGTCCAGCCACATTTTGGGAATTGCACCATGACTAAGCTGGCTATTCAAAATCGTCGTTCCCGCCGTCCCTGCGGCGCCCAAACCTTCTTGTGTGCACACGTCACGTCAAGAAAGGGCTCCAAAGCGAAGCAACCGCTCCCGCGCTGTGGCTTATGTGGCTTGAAGTCTTTGAGCCACGGCCCCACTTTGAGCCCTCTAGTTTTTAGGGCGCAATCATGGGTCATAACCTATGCCTCCAGTTTGGGGCGGATGAACACACATGCACCACCTACTTTGATCTTCACCAGGGGTACAGGGTTTTGACCCACAGCCATATGGTTGTTTATTTGTGTTGAGCTTGGATCTGAATCGCCCCTTGGTGTGACCAAATTGCCCCTCAGACGTTTGGCAGACACACTGCTTGTCCATTAAACCCACAAGGTGTTCGACATAGTTTGCACAGGGGGCAGGAGCAACCCAGAAAGGTTCAACTAGAGCAAAATCTGTCAGGAAGATGGGATAGTGCAGGGTCCAGTTTCGAAGTCCCTGGGGCGCTACCCATTGCCGCATTGGCGATACGTGCGTCGATCCTGGGGCTTGCGCTCACCTTCAGCGGTCCATGGTCCCATTGGAAGGGGCGCTCAAATGTCAGCCAAGAAAAACAAAGGACTCTCCAATTCGCCCACGTCCACAAAGGGCACTTGCCAAACGGTTTAGACCTACGTTCATCAGCAAATCGATCGGCGCCTGAAGTACACCTTCCACGGTTCCAAGTACGTAGAGACTCTCCATGACCCTAAAAGAATGGGTGCATGACCCCATTATTTTAGGCAATGACCCCATGTTTTCAGGGTCATGGAGACTCCAGGTAGATTCTGGGCAAATGAGTCGCACCAGGGGGCCCGCGACTCAATCCATGAAGGTTTCTTCCAGCCGCATCCGAGACCTTTTCTCGGTCCTGGGCTTGAGCTGCACTGCCGGCCAAAGCCTAGAGTCCCCAAGGGTTGCGCAACCCTTTTATTGGAGTTTAAAGTCGATCAACAGAAGGGCGGCCCTTGTTTGCAATAGATATGCACATGGGGTCTCGGAAAAGAAGCTCACTTTCAGGCAAATAGCTCTTAGTTGGTGGTTGGATTTTTGTGGTTTTGGATTTGAACCTCGGGCTTTTGTAGAGGGTAAATTTGGTTTGGAGGCCGCAAATTGCAGGGAACCTCATTCTGGATCGGGTCCGTGTTCGACGGTACCCTTGTTGGCTTGGCTTTTCCAGGGAAACAAACGGCTGCGGGTCAAAATCAATGGGATCCCATTTTGGTTGGTAGGTGAATTCACCACCAATTTTAGAACCTATTTTAGTGGTTGGATTGGGTCCCGTTCACTGGGGGCTAACCGATTTGGATTTTGACCCATGGCCTTTTGTCTTGGTGGTTTGGATTGGTGGTTTGGGGATTGCCCATGGCTCTTGTAGAGGGCAAATGGACCCCCCGCTTATCTTCCAAGCCACAAATCCGCACTTTTTGGTCTTCTGAAGCAAATCCAAGGAGTTCTTTGCCTCAGGCTCAGCACCTGGCAGCACACCTGGTCTCTCAAGAAGAGGCCAGTTTGATCTGCGCGTTTCCGGCCAGATCGATGTTTTTTTCTAGGTCTCCTCGAGCCAAAACCAGTTTTGCATGTGATTTACGGTGGGTAAATGGGGCCTATAACTATTTGGCTGTGGGTCAAGAATACACAACCAGGGGACCGCAGATTTTAGTTCATATGTCCATTTACAAGGGTTGAATTTTGGGTACCCGTTTTTGACCTGCAGCCATTTCATGTTTCTCGTTTTAGCGGAGACAACAAAAAGGACCCTTCAGTGGACCTCATGTAGGCGGAGACTTATGTCCACCCACCACTTTTGCGGTGGTTCTCTACTAAATCTCATGGCCATACTGTGGATGGACGAAATCCGTTCACCGTTTAGAAATCATGGGAGACCATTGTTTGTTGGTATTTACAGGGGAATCGAATCATTCTAGGGTTTCTTGGGTGGTGCGAAATGGATTTCGTCCATCCACAGTACATCTGGAGATACCTTTTTGTTGGCCATTGAACCTTTCGGGTTTCCCTTGATGCCAGGTTGATCCTTCATTTGCAGGTCTCTGAATTTCAAGTTGATCTGGCGGTTTGGATTTGTTTCGTGAAAGAATCGATGATGTTCTTGTTCAATGCAACTCTCTGAGCATGCTTGTTGTTGGGAAACATTTTTCCATTTTTTGCTTATTGTGGTTGAGTGCTTGAAATCCAACCACTTAACTGCTAAAATTTATTTGTTTGCTCCCCTTCCAACGTCAACCATGGCCAGATTTGAGCTGGTTCTCTTTCGGCCAACGTGTATAAACCCATCCTGGATTTCGTGATGACAGATTTCTTGATAACTCCCAGCCATCCGGTTCCTTAGCTTTTTAGCTTTTAGTGTTTAGTGGTGCAGGCCAAGGAAGGTGTATAGAGGACTATGCCATGATTTGTGTGTCAAAAAATAGTGTTTAGTGGTTCTTTCCATTTAGCCCACTAAAAGTTAGTCACTCTTAGCGGGAGATCTGAGGGCCCAGATTTATCGGGCCTAGGAGCCTAAACCTGAGCCATGGCGCCTTGAAGTCTCTGGTGTATTTTCCATAGGTTTTGAGAGCCTTACATTCCCCTGAGATTCAAACCACCATTAACACAATGGGGGCTCAGAAAAAAAAAAAAAAAAAAAAAAAAACATTGTTTTTGCCTAAGGATTGTCATCCCAAATTGGGTCCTTGCCTTTCTTTCAATGGGGGCAAGGAACCCTAGGGATTCGGGTAGATTCTTTCAGGTGTGATCCACCGCATTTCATTTGGTGGGTTTGGACACATATCCAGCCAGCTGCCATGCTGGGATGTGTGACACCACCTGCTTGCCATGTGTTCAGAAACGCATGCGCTTTGGATTGGTTGTGTGGATTGGTCTGAGCTGGTGCTCCTAAGCATGAGAATCCACACGGGTCCCAAGCTCCTTCTTCAGCAAGGAGGAGGGAAGCTGAAAGTTGCTCAGCATCCTTGTTCCCGTTCATTCATGGTGGCGTCCCCCAGTAGTGCCCTTTTACCCTTTTTTGGGGGGTTTGGGCTGAAGGTTTCTTAGGGTTTAGGTTTAGGGTTTTGGTTTAGTGTTTTCAGGGTTTTTGAGGTTTAGGTGTAGGGTTTCTAGGGTTTAGGTTTGCTTGGAGCTGGCTGTCCGTGTGCATCCGCTGGCTTCTCTGGTTTAGATTTAGGGTTGTGTTGATGATAGCATATAACCAGGAAAAGTCGCCCTTCGCTCCATGGGGGTATGGAGCATGAAGCTGGGTTGGGGCCCGGCAAACTCGGAAGTGCGTTTTTGCCGCGCCTGCCACGCTTTTGGGAGGTCTCTTTGGGACCCGCTTCCGGGTCGCCGGCAACACAGACGTTTTGGCCGTAAAGTAACACCTTCAAACGTGGGTTGACATAAATGCGAATGTCCATCAAAGGGCCCCCCAATTTGTAATATTGTGCGAAAGGGCTTTGAGCCAATGGTAAGGTGTTGGTCACTCCGGGAACTTCATCCAACCCAAAGCTTAAGAATGCAACGTGGAAAGCAGGTTACGTCCGTTGCTTTGCGTGAAAACCGATCTAAACGGAAGACGCTCAACAAGGGGCGGTCGAGTTTGGGGGGGCGTCGTTTTCGCCTGTGCAGAGAAGAACGGCTTCGGTTTCGCATGTTTTTTTTGTTTTAACAGCAAGCTCGGTTTGATCCTGATCCGCTGGAGATTTCGGATGGAGAACTAGGTCCCCCAGTAGTGCCCTTTTACCCTTTTTGGGGGGAGGGTTCCCCTACTAAAATAGACCAATCTATCACTAGCGGACATATTTGTTCATTTTGTCCAGGGGACTTAAGCAAAAATGGAGGTGAATGGTGGGTTTCCCACATGTGCCATGGCCAAAAGACCCCTCACGGTCAGGGATGGTCATCCCTTAGCCATGGCCCAATCGTGGCTGGAGGGGCTCAACCTGGTGTTCCTGAAAGAATTGGCCACTGTTGGTTGAGTTTCCCGTTTGAAGTGGTGCCCCAAAGGGAATAAATAATATACGCAATCTTTCGAGGAACGTACTGCAAACAGCTTGTTTGGTCCCCAACTGAAGAAGATGTAGGCCCCGTCCATATCTTTGTATGATTGTCCCGTTCACCCACATCGGGGCAATTTACGATTCGTGTCATGCATGTGATCTCAGAGAAGAAGAAAACAAAACACAGGGGCAAGATGATCTCTGTTGGGGCCACGCTTTCCATCCTGCATGACTCGGAGGATGGACAGTCCCTTGCAGAAGTCCAAAGGTACAGTATCAATTGGGAGCTTCAATATCTTTTGGGTGGGATGGGCTCTCTGGGGCCCACCTGGGTCGTGTATCATAGAGATGTTTGCATACGTTTTTCCCCTTTTTGGCGGAGGGTTCCCCTACTAAAATAGACGTCCTGAAAAAGGTTGGGTACTTTCAGTCTAACCTCTCTCCTGGAGGACCTAGAAGTGCACTGGAACCGAACCCTTGAGCGCCTTGAGCGCCTTGAGCGCCTTGAGCGCCTTCCGCCTCAGGGCCTGGTGTTGCGAGAAGGAGAAGTTGGGCTGCATCAAGCCCAACAGCTTCGACTGCACCGAGGCCGAGAATTGTCGAAGGAAACCTGGGCGATCGAAGCAAACGGTTTTATTCTAATTAGTACCTTCCATTTCCATTCTTTCCAACGATCCTTCTTTCTAGAGAACCTCCGGAAACCCAGGGAAACGGATCAGGTGTTCGAAAAGAACGATGGTTGGAAAGAATGGGGAATCAACCCTTGGATTTATGCGTCCTTGTTGTCTGCGTGGGTTGTTGCCGCTCATGGTTTGCTGCTTTGAGTGTTTGTTCGTTCGTTTGTTCGTGTGTTCGTTCGTTTGTTTGTTTTGCCTGTTTGCTTGCGTGTCTGCCTGCCTGCCTGCCTGCCTGCCTGTCTGTCTGCCTTTCTGTCTGTCAGTCTGTCTGTCTCTGTCTGTCTGTGTTTGTTTGCTTGTTTGCTTGTTTGTTTGTTCGTTTGTTCCCTCGTTCGTGTGTTTGATCGTGTGTTCAGTTCGTTCCTGTCTTTGTTTTTCTGTCTGTCCGACTGCCTGCCTGCCTGCCTGCCTGCCTGGTTGCCGGTCGGTCTGTCTGTCTGTCTGTCCGTCCGTCCGTCCGTCTGTCTGTCTGTCTGTCTGGTTGTCTTTGTGCGTGTCTGTCTGTATCTGGTTTGTTTGCATGTTTGCATGTTTGCTTGTCCGTTTGTGTGTTTGGCTGGTTGTTCCGTATGCTTGTTTGGTTTGTGTGTTAGGCTGTTGTGTTTGGTTTTGTGTTTGTTTGTTTGTTTGTTTGTTTGTTTGTTTGTTTGTTTGTTTGTTTGTTTGTTTGATTTGATTTGATTGATTGATTGATTGATTGATTGATTGATTGATTGATTGATTGATTGATTGATTGATTGATTGATTGATTGATTGATTGATTGATTGATTGATTGTCTGATTGTCTGATTGTCTGATTGTTTGTTTGCTTGCTTGTTTGTTTGTTGGTTTGTATGTTTGGTATGTTTGTGTAGTGTTGTTGTATGTGTGTTTGTTTGTTTGTGATTTTCCTTGTTTTTGTTTGCTTGATCGTTTGTGTCTTTGTATTTCTTGCTTGCTTATTTGTTTGTCTGCTTGTTGTTTGGCTGACTTGCATCTTTAAAACCGTTTGCCTGCTTAGTTGTTCTAAGCAACAGAAACCAACTCCGGCCACGCCTTGGGTACATTCTTGAAAACAAGCAAATCCTAGCTAACGCACCAACTCACTTCCTGAGTTCATGAACTTTAAACTTCTTGAGAAAACCATTTTAGTGGTAAATACAAAGTTTGAACTTTTTTTGGGCCATCCACTCAGCAATTGAGCCAATGGGTTTTAAAGGCCCGTCTCCTTTCGGAACGAGATCCAACCGTCTCATTGGCGGTTGTGCCCCATTCTTCGCCGTGCCAGGGTGCGCTGACAGCAGCTCACTGGAGTCAG